TTGACATAATAAGCATTTAACTAATTAGTCATGTTTTATAATATCATAAATATTATATTAAATTCATTTAGTTTAAAATAATGTGATATGAAATGACTGATAAATTGATTTTCTTTATTTGACTTAGACTATTTTCATTATTATATCTTTTGTTTGAAGATATTTGAAAGGATTATATTTGAATACTAAATAAATTTAATATAATATGATATGAAAAATGAATAGTTAGATAGATGCTTGTTATTTCAACATTATATATATAATAAAATTTGAAAATAATGTTATGTGAAATAACTTATAAATTGATTTACTTTTCTGAACATTAAATATAAATTGCAGCAAAATATTTCATATTTATTTGATGTTATTTTCTATTGATTTATCTACGATTCATCGCATACTACTATCTTCCTATATTTTGTATTACTTCTAAGTAAAATAATATCAAACGCAAACTATTAATTCCATGTAATATTTATCTAAAAAGAAAAAGAAGAAAATAGGTGAAAATTTGTTAGTACTATAGTATAAATGCAATAAACTTCTTTATAATTTACTATCGATTAAGAGAAACACTGTATTCCAAGTTACTTTGAAATTATCGAAGTACAGGTATGAAACATTTTTAGTATGCAAAATAAAATGAAAAAAGAAAAAATGAATTAATCTTCTTTAAGATCTTTGCACAATTATCTAGAATTTTGTGGAAATTGGAATCGAGCGTGCACGTAAATTGCGAATAAGAGAATGAGAGAGAAAAGTAATACTAGTTTAGTTTGAGGAATATTTTAAGTCTGAAGAAAATACCGTAATCATGCAAATCCTTTTCCATTCCTTCCCTTTTATATACAAGTACGTACGTTCATTCACCACAATTGATTGCTATTACGGTTAATTTTAGTTACGTGGTTAATCTGATGAAAGAAAAGATTTTGATTTTTCCTTTTCTTTCTTTTTTTTTTTCTTTCATTTGTTGTCAAATTTACAAACTTACCCGTAATACAAGGAATTTCGGAAGTATGAACGATCCGCAGGTGTGTTTTGTGGAGCAGCATCGGGATCGTCTGTAAAAAAAAAAAGAGAAAAAAAAAATGATAAGTATAAGTAACACGAATGAAATACTAAAGATAATAATTAACACATTTTTGTGATTGGTTATTGTATTACAAAAATTAAATGAGTTTAATAATGGCTGTTAAAATGATTAACAGGGGTACGTATTTGATTTGTGTATATAATGTATTATTTAATTATATTATTCATTCTAAATTGTGATAAATAATATTATTATTAAAAATTGATTATAAAAATGGTACAATAATATTAATTATAAAAATTGATTATTTATTTAAACACAATTATATTTACGATCAATCAATAATATGTTCAAACATATATATATTATATTAAATTAAATTCATGTTTCATAATATTATGAATATTATATTGAATTCATTTAGTTTAGAATAATGTGATGTAAAATAATTAATAGACCCTTGTTTTTAATTTTGAATTATTGTTAGACCACTTTCATAATTATATCTATTGTTTGAAGATATTTTAAAGATTTTTATTTATATATATATAAATATATATACGTTTAAAATAAATAATAAAAATATTGTAGAAAAATAATACGTAATATATTAAAACAATATAAATCCTTAACCTTGATAATGCAACAAAATGAAAAAGAGACAAAAACAAATAAAAAATAAAATAAAATACCAATTTGTTCGGAACGATTTATAATAATCCGATTCACCTGGCGTCTCAAATGTGCAAGAATAATACAAAGTTAGAAAAAAAGTACCGAGTATCTAAGAAAAACATCCTCGTCGTCGTAGTCTAACCAAAAAAAAAGAAAAAAGCTTATTACTCTGGACTTGAACGAACAACTTGTGTACACTAACTTCTTCCGACATAGAACATATCTTTTCTTTTTTTCAATGAGGATAAAAGAAATAGACGACGAAATAGAAGAGGAAGAGTAAGAGATGAGAAAAGAAATGTCTAGGAAAATGGGTGAGTAAAAAAGAAGAAAAAAAAAGAAAGAGAGAGAGAGAGAGAGAGAGAGAGAGAGAGCTAGAATGATCTCGTCGCATGAATAGGCACCTGTTTTCGCAGACAGGTGACGTTTACATATATATATACATACATACAAGTATATATATACATATATACATACATACAAGTATATACATGTATATATATGTATGTTCTTGTATGTATATATGCGTACAGATAAGTATGCATCTTTCTCTTCTCGAGTAAACGCGTGAGAAACCTAGAAAGGTCGATGACACCTGGTAAACGTTCTTTCTTCCTCTCTCTTTTTCACACATACACACTCTTTCTCTCTCTCACTCTTACACATGCACACACTTTCTTTCTTTTTCTTCTCTTTTTTTCGTGCCGATTTTTTAAGTCGAGCACCAATGTCACAAAAATCGATTTGCATTTGCGAAAAAATGCAATGAAATAAGTTTTATTTTATTGTATAATATTATGTAACGAAATAAAATATGGGGTGAAAAGAAATGAAGGACAAAATATATTATCTTTTGTCTTCTAAATATTCTTTGTTTTTTAATTAATTATTTATTGTTATTATTATTTTGTTTCTTTTGTATCCAAGCCAAGAAAATAATGAATCGTATCACAGGGTGCATCGATTCGTGAACTAACTTTTCAACAGTTTGTAAGTATATGTATGTATAAATGTGTGTGTGTGTGTGTTTGTTTGTTTGTGTGTTAAGTACCACACAATAAATGGAATCATCGTTATCGAATACATAGCATGAGTCAGCTATTTAAGTTGGACCACTACTGAACGTTAACCGGTCAATCAACCCATCAAAACCCTCAACCCTGTTTCACCCCAGTCCCCCCCATTCCCCCATACCCCCTCTTTGGAAGAAAAACAGATAAAACTCGTGCCTCGAAGTGATCCGGTCCTTTTTTTTTTAATCATTTCTTCTTTATAAATTTGTTTGTTTATTATTAGAAGTATAATGATATGTAATTTGAAATAATTCTGAGTTCAGTATGTGTGAGGAAGAATTGTAAAGTTCAGAATATATCAGTGCAGGGGGATGAAAATTTTGGACAAGATTTGCTAAGGATTACGTCAAGATTTGTTCATACTTGTTATGAAACAAATTGAAGTACATAATAGTTATATATTATGAAAATGTATTGTGTTCTATTAGGTATAGAAGGGTTGAAAAATT